ACAGACGGACGGACGGACGGACGGACGGATGGACGGACGGACAGACAGTCACCGCTTAATCGATTTCTCTTTTCATCCTGATCATTTATGTATACATTTGTCTATATCTATCTCGATTCGTTTTGCCTGTTACAAACAACCGTTATGTGAACAAAGTTATAATACCCTTGTGCACAAGTGCGCTCGGGTATAAAAATTATACCAAGCATTTCCCTGCGACTGGCAAGTGTAGGAAGGTTAATAAGTTTTAAGCGACTCGTATAAGGTGGAAGACTATATTGAGAATCCCATCGGAAATTTCTTAAAGCAAAAAGTAGGAATTGTTTTTGAATTGATTCTATCTTGTCTGAGTAAATTTGATACCTTGGATTCCAAACCACCGAGCCGTATTCCAGAATCGGCCTAACTAATGTTGTAAACAGCGTTTTAGTGATATAAGGGTCATTAAATTCTTTTGACCATCGTTTCACAAATGCAGGTACACCTTTAGCCTTGTTGACTGTCACATTAATGTGAAGATTAAAATTAAGCTTAGGATCCATTGTGACACCAAGGTCCACAAAATTGTATACCTGTTCCAGGTTATGGTTACCTATTATATAAGAAACTGGCAGAACAGCTCTTCGCGAGAAGCACATTACTTTACATTTCTTAAGATTTAGAGGCATAAGATTTGCTTTACACCAGTAAGCCATTGTAAGCTGTTTAAGTCTGATTGTAGCAAAGACCTTTCTTCAATTGAAACGTACGATTTATAAAGTTTTACATCATCTGCATACATTAAAATTTTGGAGAATTTTATATCTGTAGAAATATCGTTTATAAAAAGCAAGAACATAATCGGGCCTAGGTGGCTACCCTGAGGGACTCCTGAAGTAACATCAATGACGTCAGAGATAGTATTTTTAAACAATACCCTTTGTGATCTATCATAGAGGTATGAAGAGATCCAACGTAGAAAATTAGGTGGAAGACCAAGAAGATCAAGTTTATAGATGAGCAACGAGTGGCACACTTTGTCAAATGCTTTACTGAAATCAGTATATATAACATCAACAGTTTTTCTCTCACTAAATGCTTTTGAGATTTAGGATGTTAATTCAAGTAAATTTGTAGAAGTTGATTTGCCCTTGCAAAATCCATGTTGACTGTATGAAATGCTTGAAGTGATAGAATGCGTCAACCGATTTGTTATAATTGCTTCAAATAATTTAGGAATTGCAGAGAGCTTAGCTATGCCTCAGTAGTTCTCCACTGAAGACCTGCTACCGCTTTTATGTAAGGGGGTTATGAACGATTCCTTCCATACAGAAAAACGCCCTCTTTAAGAGACAAATTAAATAAGGCTGTTAACGGTTCATAGAGATAATCAGCACAATTTCTAAGAAAACAAGTGGGGATCTGGTCAGGACCATAACTAAAAGACTGCTTTAAGGACTAAAAAAACTGAAACATCATCGGGAGATATTATAGGGTTATGTATTGAGTTAATTGGACTTAGTTTAAAAGGATAGCCAAAGTATGCTTGGGAGTTAGTGGAATAATTGGATTTAAAAAACTGAGCGAACATGTTAGAAATTGTTTGATTATCACCAGAGACGGTATTTTGATACTTCATGGCGGAAGGAAACCCACGTTCATTTCGCTTGGAGTTAACGAAATCATAAAATGATTTGGGGTTATATATTATACGTCGTTTGATTTTACACAAGTAATCTTTATAACACTTTTTGTTTAATTCAAAGAACTTGTGACGCAAAAGTGAGTATTTTACATAGTATGAGTGTAAGCCGGTTTTTTTGTGTAATCTAAAATAACGTGACTTTCTGTTTTTCAAGTTTCTCAGTTCTTTAGTGAACCATAACTGTGTTTGTTCTTCAGGAACACACATGCGTTAAGGCACATACTTTTCAAATAATCTATGTACAGTACAATTAAAATGTGCAACGCTTTGCTCAACTTTTTCTTTGTATATAGGCCACGACAATTTAGACAATTCTTTATTCAGTTTTTTAAAGTTGGCTTTCGAAAAATCAAAGCGAATATTTGGTTCGTATGTTTGGACATCGCAATTTTTACCATCGTTTATAATTTCGTAAGATATCTCAATAGCAGGGTGGTAGACATCTTCGGGCAAAACTAGTGGGTCACATTTATTTACAGCCGACTTAGATGCATCATCAACATAAACAAGATCTAATACTTTGCCAAACTTATTGCGAAGTACATTATCTTGATTCAGGCAGAGTTCTGCCATCTCCTCTAAAAATACGTTGTTGCACGCGCTAGACGAGAAAGGTACAATATCATTGTCAATGATGTTCCATGATACATTTGGTAAATTAAAGTCACCCAACACAATCAATGAATCAGAGGGTTTAATCATTCAATTAATTGATTTCAGTAAAGATACATGTTGTGAATACACTGATAAGTCAGATCGGGGAGGAATATAGCATAGAGCTAAGTAAGTAAACCCCCTTCCAACCTGAACACGAATGCATTTGAATTCTGCAGATTCAGTGTGTGGAAGACTAACTTCTTCAGATGGTATTGAAGAGTCTACGGCAAAGAGTACGCCACCGCCGACTCTGTCCTCCCGATCTTTTCTGTAGATATGATAATTATTTGAAAGAATCTCTGAATTAAAAGTGTGAGGTTTGAGCCAAGTTTCAGTCAAAGAAATTATATTATAATTGCATTCAAGGCCATTAAGATATAAATTCGTTAATTTAGTATTTATGCCTCTTACGTTTTGATAATAAATACTTAAAGCAGATTTAGTAATCAGTTTTTTGGTTCTGTATTCTGACAGGGAATATTTGCTAAATTATTATTTTTGTTGGGCCTATACTCAAATTCACGAACGAAAGCTCCGGAGGGCCAAAAAGAACTACTAAGCAGCATGTCAAAATTTTCTAAATTTACGTCTATTTTAAATGAAGAAATATTTCTTTCATATTTAAAATTAAATTTTCTGATACTTAAGTTGACAGTTTTAACTTTGGACGAGATGTAAAACTTTATATCGTCCTCGGAAGTATATAGACTTATTTGGGGGAACCACAACCAGTCTCCTAGTATCAGACTCGATTACCGGCGGACGAGGTTGAGTAACTGAGTTACTAATTGAGGGTAGAGTAAGCGTTGGAAGATTAGATGGCGGTGCCACAACTTCAACGGGGGACGGGGAAGATACTGCAGGGTCGTTATTATTAGAAGCAGACTTTGATATATGTTCTTTTGAGGAAGATAACTCCGTTGTCTGTGGACATGGAGAAGAAAGATTAATTAAGTCATTCGGAAGATTGTTCTGACGTGGAACGGTCCTTTCATTAGGCGGACTATGAAGACGCTTACGTTTTGACACATGAATGTCCTTCATAGATTGTACGGTATCTAAGCATTTAAAAGATTTAAATACATTTTCATAATGTTTAAATTTTTCGGTCAGTACCGACAACTCTCTCCCCACCTCAGAAAACCCATTTCTGGTTTGCCTAAACAACTTAAACAGATCAACTTCGGTTGACCTGCACTTTAAGCAGGACCAGCGAAGACCTTTGCCATCATTAATAGCGTCCAGAATTCTGCCTGTCAAACCAGCACATTTTAGATGGCAAATACCATCACAGAGCCAGCACGATAAGTAGCGTTCAGATTCGCTTTTAATTTGGCAGTTATCAAGATCACACTTCATATTGAAAGATTTAATAACACTTATGTTAATAAAAAGACAAGCAAAATAAGTTTAACACAACACACACAACAATTTAGTAGCTGATGTATTTAGCTTAAAATATATGTAGCGAACAGTTTGAGTATCACTGTATTGTGACACTTAATAAACGCAGCGCAAACAGCTGTGACAAGAAATACTAAACGAAGTAAACAAAAAGAGCAAAAAGAAATGTGCAAAAATAGAAACGATCTCAGTTAACTACAAAGGAATAACAACAACAATGATAACAACAAATGACTCGGCAAGATTAGATGTATGCTAGTGAAATTTAATTAAATTTAATATAAACCACAAAAATCACAAAACTTTCACTTAGCTTCGGTTATTATCACACTAAGATGCTCGTAGGCACTTTTTATAGCAACTTTTACTCAAAATTAGCACAATAAACTTTGCAAAATACAAAGACCAATCAAGGCACGATATAAGTAGAACTTCACAGCTTGACGTTTACGACAATTATCGTTTTATATCGATAATTTTTCATCCTTTTACATGCAACAAAGCGAAATTATGGTGACAGGTAATAAGATCAACGGAAATAAGGTCAATTGACTTTATTTCCCACCCTGGAGCGAAATAAAGTCAATTGACATTATTACCTTTTTAAAAACGAAATAAAATCAATTGACGTTATTTCTCTTTCAAACATTAAATTTGCTTAGCTTCGCGGCGGCCCGCGTCAGCGCGCCACACCGCGCGCGTCGCGCTCGCGCACGCGTCCCGCGTACCCAGCGCGACCGGCGCGCACACCACGTCACGCTACGCCGCGGCCCCCCGGCCCCCCCTTCCCCCTCTCACGACGTGCTGTAACGCAGGTAGATTTATTTTTTGTATACGTTGAAATAAAATTTTTATATATTTTAAACATCGAGGGTTTATATTCAATAATACCCCCTATCTGCACACTTTTCACAAAGATGGGATTCTGATATAAAAATCCATCTAAGCTTTAACTGTCATCAGTGATATTAATGTTACCTTATATAACGACAGGTAATAAGTCCCAGATGGATTCTAAAATCACAAATTAGTTTTTGTGCAAATTGCAGATAGAGGGTATTAATGAATTCAAGCCCTCGATATTTCACATTTTTATATTTGTAAGTTATTGGAAGCAGGGATGCCAACTTGGCTCAAACCGTGCCATTTGTTCCT